GCTCCGGGGGTGGGTCTGGGGTCAGAGCAGGTCAGGGCGCCGGGCCGTGTTCGGGGGCTCCGGGGGCTCCGGGGGTGGGTCGGGGGTCAGAGTAGGTCAGGGCGCCGGGCCGGGTTCTGGGGTGGGGGCGGGCGCCCTGGTGACACTGGGAGCCCCAGCGGTGGATACGGGCAGATGACCCGGTGAGGGTCTGGTGCAGCTTCCCGGGCTATGTCTTCACTGACGCGCCTGATTTCGCCTCTGGTCCACGAAGTGTTTTTGTTCTTCGTGTGTTTTACGTAAGGTACCTGAAATCTTTTGTGGGATGAAGTGGCATGGGAAATAAACTGTGTTCACTTTCCTGTGTTTCGTATTGTATTGTTAGGATCTTTCTCATGCACAATTGTGTGCCATATAATTTTGGAAATATTTTAGTGAGTTAGTTTACAATGATCCATCCACTCTTACTTTATTTTTTTTTAAAGATTTTACTTATTTATTTGACAGAGAGAGAGAGAGCGAGCACAAGCAGAGGGAGCAGCAGAGGGAGAGGGAGAAGCAGGTCCCCACTGAGCAAAGAGCCCAGGACCCTGGGATCATGACCTGAGCCTAAGGCAGTGGCTTAAACCAACTGAGCCACCCAGGCGCCCATATTTTATTGACCTTTAGGTTGTTTCCAAATCTTTGCTAGTGTTAAATGAGGCAAGAAAGATTATAATTGTGTATAACCCTTTGTCTTACTTAGGATCAGGTTGCTTTTCTTAGAATTGTATGTTTCCACAGGCCCTATGCCCCCTAAGTGGACTTTATTGGCAGAAGAAATGAAAACCATTCTTCACAGACCTACACTGAGAGTTTTGCAGTTTAGTACTTTCAGAACTAATTTTTTATTGTATAGTTACCACAAACTCCTTAACATAATATTTTTGGCATTTCTTTATTGCCAATTAGAATTTTATATTTTTAGATGTTAAGTGTTTACTGAAAACCCTATTAAAATTTTTCAAAATTGGATTGGATTCCTTTTTTGTTATGTAAGCCTTGATTATTTCTTTTTTTTTTAAGATTTTATTTATTTGACAGAGAGAGACACAGTGAGAGAGGGAAGACAAGCAGGGGGCGTGGGAGAGGGAGAAGCAGGCCTCCCACTGAACAAGGAGCCGGATGTGGGGCTCGATGCCAGGACCCCGGGATCATGACCTGAGCCGAAGGCAGACGCTTAACGACTGAGCCACCCAGGCATCCCTGATTATTTCTTTTCTAATCAGTGTGTATTATTTGTGGCCATCACATAGAAATAAGCTGAAAGTCTCATTGCTCTATTGTGTGAAAATGCCCAACCTAGTGCAGGTACTTAGTAAATCGGTAAATTCATGTTAACATTAGACCCCAGCCTAGTTACTGAGATACATCATGAGCTTTAAGCAGAAACATCTGTAATTATGGTGTTCATGCCACCAAAGTCGGGAGGCATGAGAACCTTCCTGGTACTGTCCCCATCTCCGCCACACACCGCTGCCTTGCCCTCCATGTCATTTGCCATTTCCTGAGGGCCAGTGCTTTCATGCCTTGCTATTTACATATTTTTGTATACAATCGTACTGTGAAGCTTGTTTATATTAGAGATCTTAACATCACTTTACTTGTATTTCACTTTGAGACCTGTTTCTCTCCCCGACTATATCGTGGCTATTGTCTGAGGCCTTGTTTTTTTTCTTTTAATCCTGTAAGACTCAGTGCTATGTGGCTCATAGGTAGAACTGAGCCAAGTGGATGATACAGTTGTGACAGATGTATTTTGTTCCTTTTGTATGGTTAATGGTTTTATTATTTACTTCAAGGTACATCTCCATGAATAACTTAAATGACCCCCCAAATTGGAATATCCGGCCTAATTCCAGGGCTGACGGGGGTGATGGAAGCAGATGGAATTATGCCCTATTGGTTCCAATGCTGGGATTGGCTGCTTTTCGTAAGTCATAGTTTTCCTAACATTTGCATTCGGTGGGCTGAAAGTGTGGATCCCAAAAACCTTGGGCTTTGGACCCTGACAGATGCAAGTGTACATCCTAGTGTTATCCCATACAGTGAGTCCTAGGCAAATTATTTAACCCCTTGAGCCTCAGTTTCCCTATCCACTGAAGCATTGTGAGGGCTAAATAAAACAAGATACTTTGTGTGGAGTGGTTTTTAGTAACTATTAGCTCCTTTCCAGACTTCACTTCTCTGAAGGGAACTCTCTTGGTTCAGTTGCCCTCATCAGGACTGACAGGGGAGAATAAAATAGGTGTAAAAGAAAACCAGTTTGGTTATCTGTTTAACGTTTAGGGAATCAGTCTGAAAACCTCTGCTCACCTGGCCAGCTTCTCTCTAGTTTGAATTGACTTTGGGGAAATGACCAGTTACTGGTCTGTTATAATTATTCCAGCCCTTAGCTTTTATTTTCCACTACATGATAATTTTCTGACGTTCAGGAATTAGTTTTATACTTTGTCATATCCCACAGTTTTGGATTGGCACTTAAGAATATGAGAAACTGAATAACTGAAGAAAATCACAAGCTCCCGTCTATTTGCAGTGATACTTTTTATGGAGTGTTTTTTCATGTGCTTAGATTTCTCAGGTCAATAGGCTTACCTCAGGAAGTGAAGGGTGAAAATAGCATTTATCAACTGTTCATTTATCTGCCTTTACTGTAGACTGTGCCAGGAGACTCGTTTACACCGATATTTGGCAATATAATTTCTATTTGTTTATTTATTTGTGGGGGGGATGCATGTGGGGAGGGGCAGAGGGAAAGGGAGACTCTCAAGCAGACTCCTCACTGAGTGTGGAGCCCGACGCAGGGCTCTATCTCACAACCCCGAGATCATGACCTGAGCCAAAGCCAAGAGCCACCCAGGTGCCCCTTGGCAATATAATTTCTAAACTATGTAGTGAAAGATTTTTGGAGACTCTTTATAAGAACGCAAAGATAAAAGTTTTCGGTGATCATGCTACCTAAGCAAGACAACCAAGAAGAAAATACAAAATATTCATTGACTCTTCTCAGGGACAGAAAGCGACATTTCAAAAGTCCAAGGAGGCAAGAACCTCAGAAGTAAAGGTTGTTATGAAAGGCTATAAAAGCTAGAGTTTGGAAAGCAAATGGAACGATGAGAGTTGCCCTGGGGCCTGTCCCAGCCTCAAAACTAATTAATCATTGTTAGTCAGTGTAATGTTAAGCCTTCCAATTCCCTCACCAAGTTCATCACCCTAGCCATGGGCCATAGGTAGTGGTTCCAAGGGTTAGGAGAGCTTTGCAAGATGGCAGGCTGGTGAGCTTCTAAGTGGCAACACCCTTAGGGCTGGGTTTGGATCTGCCCAGTCTCTGACCTGGAGGCAGGCACTGTGCAGATCGCTGAATCAAAAACACCACCTGATCTTGTCAGCCTCCATGGGAGTCGATGTTTAGTTTTTTAAGAAAGTGCCAAAACGTTTTCCCGAGTGGTGGTACTATTTTGCATCCTCATCAGCAGCGTGTGAGTGATCCATTTTCTTGGTATCCTCACCAGCATTTGGTGAGGTCACTGTTGTTTTTATTTTACACCCACTGTGGTTTCAGTTTGCATTTCCCTAATAGCTAATAATGTTGAACATGTTTTCACATTCTTATTTGCCATCGGTATAGCCTCTTCCACGACATGTCTGTTCCTGTCTTTCGGCCATTTTCTAATTATACTGTGTTTTCATGTTGAGTTTTCAGAGTTTTTTACTACATTCTAGATTCTAGTATTTTGTTGGATATCTAATTTGCCAGTATCTTTTTCCACTCTAACTTGCTTTTTTATTCTCTAAATGGAGGCTTTCGCAGAGCAAAGGTTTTAATTTTGATGAAGTTCAAGTTTTTTCTTTCATGGGTCATGCTTTTCCTCCTGCAGCTCTTTGCCTAGCCCTAGATCCTGAAGGTTCTGTCCCACATTGTTTCTTGAAAGTTTAGTTTTACATGTCCATGATCCATTTTGAGTTAATTTTTTTTTTCTTTTAGTATAATGTATGAGACTTAGGTTTTCTTTCTTCCTTTCCAATCTGTTTGTCTTTTATTTCCTTTTCCTTTTCTTGCTTTTTTGCACTGGCTGACACCTCCAGGCCCCCATTGAGAAGTTCCCATCTTACAGGAAGAGCATTCGGTCTTCACCATTAAAGGCGACGTTAGCAGTGGGTTTTCATAGCTGTTCTTTATCAAGGCAAGGAAGCTCCCCTCAGTTTTTCTTTTCTTTTTGAGTTTTTACCACCAGTGGGTGTTGAATTTTGCCAAATGTTTTTCTGTATCAGTTGATGGGATCATGTGGTTTTTCTTCTTTAGACTGTTCGTATGTTGGGTTACATTGATTGATTTTTGAATATTGAACCAGTCTTACATTTTTGGAATAATTTCCACTTTGGGGGGGGTGCACCTGGGTGGTTCAGTCGATTAAGTGTCTGACTCTTGGTTTCGATTCAGGTCATGCATGATGTCATGGGTCATGGGATCCAGCCCCATGTCAGGCTATGGCTTTGTGCTCATCAGGGAGTCTGCTTGAAGATTCTCTCCCTCTGCCCCTCCCCCCACTCGCATGCACTTTCTCTCTCAAATAAATAAATCTTTGGGGTGCCTGCGTGGCTCAGTCGTTAAGCGTCTGCCTTTGGCTCAGGTCATGATCCCAGGTTCCTGGGATTGAGACCCACATCAGGCTCCCTGCTCAGTGGGAAGCCTGCTTCTCTCTCTCTCTCAAACTCCCTCTGTTTGTGTTCCCTCTCTTGCTGTTTCTCTCTCTGTCAAATAAATAAACAAAATCTTAAAAAAAAAAAATCTTAAAAAAAAATCTTTGAAAATAAATCTCCACTTGGTCATGCCATATAATCCTTTTTACATATTGTAGAATTACATTTGCCAGTATTTTGTTCAGGGTTTTATGTCTGTGTTCCTATGCGATTTATTATTTTAGCCCTTTGGCAGAGTTCTCTCTTCTCCACACTTACTTCAGCATCATGTTTTTTTTGTGTCAGTTATTGTATTTTTCAGTTCAAAACGTTCATATGCTTGTTTTTGTATGTCCTATTTCTGTGCTTAGACTTTGTATTGTCATGCCTGCTTTAAACTCTTTGTCAGGTAACACTAACATCTCTGTCCCCTCACTATTGGCATCTACTGATTATCTTTTTAAATTCAATTTGGGATCTTTCTGATTCTTGGTATGAAGAGTGATTTTCAACTGAAACCTGTGTATTTGGGGCATTATGTTATGAGGCTGACCTTTTATTTGGACATTCTATGGATTCTTCTTGGATAGGGCTCTAGCAGGGGAAAGGTGGCTCTGCTGCCTCACTCCTAGGTGGGGATGGAAGTCCAAGCTCCGCACTCAGCCTCTGGTCCCCTCATTACCACTGGGCAGGAGCCGGGGGTGCAGCTCCCCCAGGTTCCCACAGATGCTCCTCCCTGCCTGGGAGAGGTAGGAGATCTTGTTACTGCTCCCCACTTGGCCACCTCTGACACCACCCCCAAGGGAGCAGGAGGGGCTCCCATCAGCCTTTGCCCAATGGATGGGGATGGGACCACAGTGACTTTGCTGTGTGGCCAGAGTGGAGTAGTTATTGTTGAAGTTTCTGTCTTGCTAGGCCACCTTCCTAGCCCCTTGGCCAGAGAGAGCAGACTTGTGCTGGGGCTTTTTGAAAGAAAGTGTTCACATTGGCATTTCAGCTCCAAGTCTGGGAAGTGTGAGGCAAAATAAAACCCCAGGGGCCTCACCACTGTAGCCTTCCTTGGGTCCTGAGGTCCCTCGCCAGTCGTCCTGCGGTTCTCCACCTTTAAGAACCCCCTTGGTTTGCCGTACTTACGACGCAGGGTTTCCGACTGTGCTGAGCAGGAAGAACAGGAAAGAGTACTTCTGTTCCATTCCCCCAAAAGCAGGAGCCCCCACTCTCTTCTCTGCCTTGGGAAACTGGGGCTGTGCACAATTGTGTTTTGCCCAGAGTCATAAGGCAGGGTTCTCCAGGATCAGACCCAGACTTAAGGTTTTTCCATTCTGCTTCCACACTTTCCTCTGCACACGTCCTTGGTGATCTCCCCCACCTGTGTCACGTCTCTGTCCCACCTCTTCCTGGAGGCCTTCCTGATTCAGTGCCACCCACCCCAGACTTGCCCGTAGTCACAGCCTGTACCGTGTAGTCTGATGTGCAGCTCGGTGTGTTCTGTACCAGTCGCCACTTGTTCCGTGTGTCAGTTGTACTTCCATTAGCTCATACCTGGGTTAAGGCAAGAGTGGCCTCCTCTGCCCCCTGCTGCACCCCCACCTCTGATCTTCCACTTCTTACCAGAGTCTCTGAGGACCTCTGTTGTTCAGGCCTGCTGACTTCCAGGATGTGCTCAGCCCCTCAGTAGAAGCCCTGCAGCGACTCCTGGACACCATCTGCTCAGGACATGTGATGCCCACTCTTGTCCCTGTTCATTCTGCCTAGAGGGGGCCTTTCCTACCAGCTGTTCCTCGTTTTTCCAGACTGGTTCCCATTCGCCTCTTTCGTGAGCCCCTCCTGACTGCACCCTAAATGGAATTAGTCCTTCCTTCTTCCCCTTCTCACAGAGCTCTCAGTGCTTATCAGATGATAACTGTAACTGCTGCTCTAGCGGCCAGTCCCCTACCTGTGAACTTCAGTGGAAGGAGGAGATGAAGATGATGTGTGCTTTCGAGTTTCCGTTACCAGTAGGCCTAGATGCTGTTTGTAGGTGAGGAAAGAATGCATTTGGTCTCATGCTTATAGAGTTGGGGTGGTAGCAGCACTTCAAGTGGAAATGACTTTCAGGTGCACGCAAATACTGCCTCAGAGGATGGTTCTCAAGGGACGCGGGGGAAGAAGACCCGAATGGCAAGGACACCGCCTTGAGTGCTGGGGAGGGAAAAGGAGCCTCCCGGCACTGGATTTCTCCATGCAGCAGAGGACAGAGGCCCAGCTGCTCCTCAGTCTGTCCCATGTTTGTGAGAGTAGAGTTTCCCTGGTTTGGGGAAAGGGAGCCAGGCCATGTCTTGAGGTTGAAATCTTCCTCCACCTTTTTTATGTACCCTTGTCAGAATAGAAGCGAGATGACCAGGCAAGTCTGAATGCGCTTTGAAATCACTCAGTTCTGTAATCACCTGCCAACATTACAGGAAGCATAGCAGTGTTGACTTTTAAACCTTGGCGGTAGGACGTGGAGGCCCTGTGGCCAGAGTAGGCATTGGTGGTGAGTTTGAGAGCAAAAGAAAGCAGTGGTGTATTTTTTCAGCCAGAGAAGATGAGGAGTCTGGAAGGGAACTGTCAGCAACCTTGTCACACTTGTCCTTGGGGAGCCTTACCTGATTTTAAGATAAGAATTTTGATTATTATATGGTTTCATACAAAATGTTACCTGTACCTTTCAGGGCTTAAGATTTTATTGAAATGCTGTCCTTAGCTGCTTTATGCTTTTTCAAAATAAAGATTATAAAACTTCAGCTCTGACTTCTCATTAAGTGTGTTTTTCTCCCCCAATTTATTCGTGTCAGGTTGGATTTGGTCCAGGGAGTCCAAGAAAGAAATAGAAAAAGAGAGAGAAGCGTACCGTCAGAGAACAGCTGCTTTCCAGCGGGATCTTGAAGCCAAGTACCACGCCGTGATCTCAGAAAACCGGCGTGCGGTTGCTCACTTGTCTTTGGAACTTGAAAAGGAACAAAACAGAACGACTAGTTACCGAGAAGCCCTTATCTCTCAGGGGCGCAAGTTGGTAGAAGAAAAGAAGCTTCTGGAACAGGAGCGGGCTCAGGTCATGCAAGAAAAGAGACAGTTGCAGCCCCTGAGAAGTGCGTATCTCAGCTTCCTGGAAAAGGAAGATGACTGGCAGAGGAGGGCCAGGCTTGTGCTGAAAGAGTTTGAAGACGCTCTTACGGAAAGACAGAACATCTACTGCAGCCTGCTCCTCCCCCGCGGCAGGCGGCTGGAAATCGAGAAGAACTTACTGGTCCGAGCATCCACCGACCCAGTTGCCGCTGACCTGCAGATGGCGGCTGGCCTGACCGACATATTTCAGCACGACACATACTGTGGCGACGTCTGGAATACCAACAAACGCCAGAATGGGAGACTCATGTGGCTGTATCTCAAATACTGGGAGCTGACTGTTGAGCTGAGGAAGTGTAAGAGAGTTGAGAAAGCCATCCTAGAGAAGTAGGGCAGGAGCGAAGTACATCTTCGGTGATGCTGTGGTGTCCCGGGGCATCGCCGTGTTGTCTTCTGTAGCCACCTTCCAGCTGAGGGGTCTTCTACTCCCACCACCGACTGAGTGGGACACAGGGTCTCTTCCTTGGCCCTCTTCAGCTATAAGGATGCAGTTTCTCGGGAAAAATTTTTTTTTTAAGCTGTAACATTTTGTTAGGCTGAACAGTATAACCTCGTATCTTTGCTGTAGGGTAAGATTGTTTTTAAGAAAGTCAAATACAGTATCGATCCTCACTGTAAGTAGTTTTCTGTTTGTTTTTATCACTCCCTAAATAAATTCTGTTTTCTCCTCAAATTACTTTTCTCTCTCCTAGAATTATAAATAGAAGTTGTCAGATAATGGATAGAACTGCCTAATGAGGACAGAAAATAGTAACGTTAATCAAGGTTTCTTGCTGGTGTGAGCATCTCTCCCACCAAAGGGAGAGAAAGTGTTCCTTGTATCCAGTTGACACCCTGGTATATGGTTGGAATTTGGCTTGTGTCTGTATTTAGTAAGCACCTATTATTTATTAGCAGTGACATATAATAAAAAATACTTGCCATTTAAAAGCAACAATGCCACCTATGTGTGTAATTCTTTACTCTTTATAAAATGTTTTTACAAAGATTATCTCCATTTTACCACAAACTGATCAAAGGTAGGCACTTGCCCATTTTTCACAAAGCTAAGGTGAATCAGCCTCTCACACATCACCCCTGTAATCCCACCCCGTGTAATCCCAACATGGGAAGAATATGTAGCAAAATCAGCAGAGAATGGGATGCCTGGGTGGCTCTGACTTTGGTTCAGGTCATGATCTCAGGGTCCTGGGATCAAGCCCCATGTGGAGCTCTGCTCTCAGCAGAGAGTCTCCTTTCCTCTGCCTCTGCTCCTCCCCCTGCTCATGCTCACTTGCTCACTCTCTCAAATAAATAAGGAAAATCTTCAAAACAACAACAGAAAAAAAAACAGAGGAAAAGGCACGTGGGGGCAAGTGAGGAGCCTGTGCATCTTCCAGAGTCTTCTCCCGGGGGAGTCATGGGAGTGCTTCCCCCCCCCCCCCCCCCCACCAGCAAGGAGCGTGAACTGTCACCAACCTGGGACCCCCAGGGACAGCCCAGCGCTGAAGTTGATGGCTGGTCATGTGGGTATCCTCTGCTTGGCACACACCCAGACAGCAGAATCCCAGAAGGAAAGCCGGTATCCTCTCAAACTACAAAATTTAGACACAGTGGGCTGCCCTTACTGGTCAGCGGCAGGGAGATCCTCTCCAAATCCAGGTTCCCCATGCCATCCAGGGGCCAGGCTTGCAGCAGGCTTTCAGAAGGCCCACAGCCTCCTTGCACAGGTGAGGCGGCTGGACCTGCTGCCAGGAGAAGCTGTCTGGGCAGTGTGGCCCCAGAGGTGCTGGAAACTTAGATGCAGTTCCTCAGTAGCAAGTGGCCCAGCAACGGCTGCACTGAGGTCCACCTGCTTTGGAGCCCCGTTTCCACCCAGCCTGCCTGCCTGTCTGTGGCAGGGAGACAAACTTAGGAATACTAAGCTGACAAAAAACATCACATCTAATTGTAGGGGAATGTCATTAGAGTTGGGTTTGGTCTGGGGACCAAAATGCTGAGGACTTACGGCCCAGTGGATCTGCATGGTTTATGCTCACATGTGGTTTTTAATGTTCGGAGCAATGTCAAGAGACGAAGAAGCGGCTCAGAGCTAGCGACCGTAAGGTCCCCCATGGGGCTGGGGTCCTCGCCCCAGGCTCTGCTCTTAGCTGCTGTGCTAGGCACAAGACGGTTTCATGCTTTTCTTCTCCAGTGGGGCTCCTCCCGTCACCTTTCAGCTCAACTGTCACCGCTTGACCCAAACAAAAATACCTTAGGTAAATCTGAACTAAAAAGTTTCTCTGGTTATTTGTATCACCTAGAGTGGTGTCCATTCAGTTTCTGTTACTCCACTGGCTCTCCAGGTACCCTTGGATAAACCACCTAGTGCTTTCCCCTTGGTTTTGTCTTTAAAAGGAGGGAAATTCAGGGGGCACCTGGGTGGTGCAGTGGGTTAAGTGGTTGACTCCTGGTTTCGGCTCAGGTCAGGATCTCAGGATCTTGGGCTTGAGCCCCGTGTCAGGGATGCTCTCTCCCTCTCCCTCTGTCCCTCCCCCTCTCCCCCCCCCCACCGTGTCTCTCTCTCTCTCTAAAAAGTAAATAAGTAAATCTTTTAAAAAAATGAGGAAAATTCAGCCAGCCATTTAGTAGGTAAATTTCAAGGTGAATTGTTAATCCTCACCCTATTTTCTAATGTCCAGCATGCTGTGAGCCTAGTCTCCAATAGCTTGATAACTATGTTCAGATAATTCAAATCAGTTTAGACACTGGTTTGGTACTGCAAAATCAGAAACTTGCTACAGAAAATTATGTTGGGCCATGTTTGTATTTGCATAGCATGGCTGCCTCCTACTAGCAAATTTATCTGAGGGTTAATTGGATGCCATCCCATCTTTTTAACATTGAATTTGTTAGGTTGGAAATTTGTTGACTTCACAGATGTATCAAAGGAGGTCTGGACTAAGTGACGCTAGAGTGGAACATTATTGAACTAAAAGGGTTTAAAATTGAGAAAGAGAATAGGAGCCAGGAGCTGTTTGATATGTGTGCAGGATTTGTGGGGACTTGGGAATCAGACATCATTCATCTAGGCTGCATTCCAGAAGGTCTCAGTAACTGAAACCTTGAGCCAGCAAGGCAAGGAGGATGCTCCCGGCTAAAAGGGCCAGGGCTGAGGCAGGACCTGTATCTGGAGGGAGCCTGTCTGTGCTGTAGTCAAGAGGAGGGGGTGGTGGTTGTGGTGGGGGGCTTTGAGGGGGGGTTCAACCTCTGCTTTCTAATTGTGCTTACTGTGAAATTACCTATTTCAGCGTGTTTTACTTTGGAATATTGTTGGAAGGCACAAGGATTGGCCAGGATGTTCCAAAAATAAAACAAGAAGCAGGCAGTGATTCTGTAAATTAATCTCACTCAATTTATTTGTTAAATAAACATACCTGGGGGGGGCAGCATGGGATTACCTGGGTGGGGATTTAGCTGGGGGAAAGAGGGGCCCCAGAACTGGACAGAGGGTGGAGACTGCTCACACAGTGATTCAAACCCTTAACCAGAACTTGGGGGTTCTAGTGTGAGAAGATTGGGCCCATCAAGCACTAGCCTCTATCTTGAGAAAATGTTTCATTCTCATACTTAGATATTTTTAAAAATTCTGAATTGAATTGAAATTAAAGCCACGTCTGAGGAAGGCACACTACTGTTTTATTAGTATCTAATCATCGTAACACCTGGCCCTTTGCAGGAATCAGATCTTGGTAGAAACCAAGTCCAAGCACTTGTGGGTGAGGTGAGCGGAGCCAGATTCGAGACCAGAGGCTGAACTCGGGATCCGACAAGATGGCCGGGCTGCCCCGCAGGATTATCAAGGTAACCCAGCATTTGCTGGCAGAACCAGTTCCTGGCATTAAAGCAGAACCAGATGAGAGCAATGCCCGTTATTTTCATGTGATCATTGCTGGCCCCTAGAATTCCCCCTTTGAGGGAGGGACTTTTAAGCCTGAACTATTCCTACCAGAAGAATACCCAATGGCAGCCCCTAAAGTACATTTCATGACCAAAATTTATCATTCAAATGTAGACAAGTTGGGAAGAATGTGTTTATAAATTTTTAAAAAAATATTTTATTTATTTATTTGACAGAGAGAGAGACAGTGAGAGAGGGAACACAAGCAGGGGGAGTGGGAGAGGGAGAAGCAGGCTTCCCGCTGAGCAGGGAGCCCGATGCGCTCCATCCCAGGACCCCGGGACCAGGACCTGAGCGGAAGGCAGACACGCTTAACGACTGAGCCACCCAGGTGCCTGGGAAGAATATGTTTAGATATTTTGAAAGGTAAGTGGTCCCCAGCACTGCAGATCCACACAGTCCTGCTATTGATCCAGGCTTTGTTAAGTGCTTCCAGTCCAGATGATCCATTAGCAAATGATGCAGCGGAGCAGTGGAAGACCAACGAAGCCCAAGCCATAGAAGCAGCTAAGGCATGGACTAGGGTATCTGCCCTTAAACTCGATCTGATCATCAAGTGTGCATCACTTCTCCTGTTCTGCCAAGACTTCCTTTTTTGTTTGCATTTAATGGACACAGTCTTAGAAACATTACAGAATAAAAGCCCAGACATCTTCAGTCCTTTGGTGATTAAATGCACATTAGCAAATCTATGTCTTGTCCTGATTCACTGTTGTTAAGCATGAGCAGAGGCTAGAAGTACCATCCGGATTGTTGTGAAACGTTTGAAAGCAGTGGCCCTTCTCTGCTTTTATTCATTTCCCCGTCATGGCTTGAGGATAAAGCACTGTGCACGAAGGTAGTTGTCAGGGTTAGCTGCAGGGGTGTGGGTGTTTTTCTTTATTACTTTTTTTGAGGGGGAGAGGTGGTTTTATTTTAATTTTATGTGTTCCTTTCCCCCTTTTTTATGGTGATCTAATTGCATTGGTTAAAAGCAGCTAACCAGTTCTGTAGAATATGCTCTCTAGCCAAGTCTAACTTTATTTAGACGCTGTAGATGGACAAGCTTGATTGTTTGAACCAAAATGGGAACATTAAACAAATATCACAGCCCTCACTAATAACATTGTGACTTTGCTGTCAAGTGTAGAATCCTTCAAGAAAAAACTTGTGACCATTTTGCATGGCTTGTCTGGAAATTTCTGTAAATCTTATGTTTTAGTAAAATATTTTTTGTTATTCCACTTTGCCTTTGTACAGTTTATTTTACTGTGTTTATGTCATTTTCCCAATGTGACATTTGTATTTAAAAATTAAAACTGATGGAACATTCTCTTTTAGTCTTTACCACTTGACAAGGTGATCTGGCGAGAGAGATTTTGCCAGTTTCTTTTCACTGATGCAAACTTGTGTAAAGATATCACTGAATGCAGTATTTACAAGCTGGCCCTGAGCATGCATAAAGTATCAGTATTTGATATTTTTTTACCTCCTAGAAATTTGAATAAATGTGTTGGTGTTGTCTGATTAGATGATCAGTGGTGTCTGCCATGATGTTTGGAACTTAATGTACAGGCGACTCACAGCAAAGCAGGAGCTGTGACTGACTGTGTGTAGGACTCACATGTTCTGCCACATTTGTTCGTGTCTGGCATTTGGGATATGACCTATTTCTTAGTCCTCGTCTGGAAACTTCACGTGTAACCACTGGTGTGCGCTATTAGGAAACACCAATCTGATGATCATGTGGGGTTGCTGAGGCATTTATGAGTCTTCCTTAATAGACCTGATGAGCAGATCTCAAGCAGCCAGCCTGCATAAGTGTCATCTGGAAGTTTTCTTCCTTTGAGAGTATCAGATTCTCAGTTAATGATTCTTTCATATTTGCTATGGGAGCTCCTATTGTTTGATATTCAGTGATTTTTTTCTGCATTGACAGAGTTCCTCCCTTCAAAAAAACTGTTCTTTCCCACCCTTCTCCGTATCGAATTCCCTATTCCTGATCTTTGTAAGTCATCAGGATAGCCAGTCCTAAGTACATAAAAGTTAACCCGTGGGCTGGAACCTTTAAGGTAATGGATATTGTAGCCTGTCTGAATGTCCCCCACTCTTGATTCTCATAACTTCTGGAGTTTCTTCAGCATGTGTGGTATATTTTATTGTGCTCCTGTGTAAGATGAAGAATTATCTATTAAAATTACATTTTCAACAACAACAACAACAAAAAAGTCACCAAGTCCAAATGTAATTAAACATTTACACGCCAGGACTCAACCACATAGAGGAGCTCTCCACACAGAGGAGCTCCCCTCAGTCCGAGCAGAGGGTCCTCTGAGGTCAGCGTCCAAAGGGAGGTAGGAAACAGGGGCAGCGATGGTGCTCTCACCGGCGGGGCTTTCTTGCAGTGACAGAGGCCCTCCAGGAAGCCATTCTGCATCCTCAGGCTGAAGCCATTAACAAGTCCCACGTGCCATGCTGGGCAGGAGTTCGTAAATATGCAAACCCATGTCAGCACCGCAGATGCCCAGATGTGGCACAGGGAGTACTGAGTTCTGGGACAGTTCTCACATTCTCTCCGCCCTGGCTGGACATCTGGGCTCCCCTCCTTGCTCCTATCCGGCCCCGCACCATTCTACCATCTGCCACCGATGTGGCCTCGAGTCACCTCTCCCAGAGCAGGGCTTTCTCTCGTATAGTGCTTAACTGATGCCACGTACAAGTTTCACTAAGAGATGCATTAACTGGTGGTGGCTGGGGGAGCGGATGCCCAAGCCTGCTGACTCAGGATGTCCAGGCTGCTGCACAGCTGAACTGCAAGGCCCCCCTTGGTCTGCTCAAGGGCCTACTCCATCTGTTCCAGTGCCCTGGAAAAGTTTTCTAGAGCAGCTTTGAAGGCTCGCAGCAAGAAAGCTCCAAGTTCATTGCTTGTTTCTTGGATATCTGGGTCAAAACTTCCAAAGAGGGGCGTGCAGACTTGGATGTCTCCCCGGCCAGCCCGAAGCAGCACTGCACGGAGATCCTCGGCAATTACATCATATTTCTGCTGGTCGAATTTGGACATGGCCAGCTCGTCCTGGGGGTAGGCGGTGCCTTCAGGGTAGCAGTCCTTGGGCACTGGGAACTCAACATACTGCAGCTTGGGCAGCTCGCAGAGAGCCACAAAGAAGCGCCTCAGGGCCCGTGCTGACAGCGGGTTCCCCAGGAAACGGAGCTCACAGAGCTCGTGGCAAGGGCTCAGGGCCAAGATCAGCATGCTCATGTGACCATCCTCGATGCTGCACTCCTCCATGGTGAGGACCCTCAGCGTCTGGGCAGCCCGGCTCAGCAGCCTGAAGAAGGTAGAAGGAAACAGGACGAACAGGCTGTGTCCACTGAGGTCCAGCACTTCCAGGTGTGTGGTGTGGGTGCAGTCTGCCAAGAAGGCCATGTCTGCATGGTTCAGGGAGCAGTTGGCCAGGTCCAGGGTCCTCAGTGGCGTCCGTAGGGGGCTAGGGCAGGATGGAAAACAGCACGGGTGAGGGGCGGTCCCAGAGAGGACCTCTGGGAGGAATTCAGATGAATTCTATCTCACAGGTCAGCCGACTGCTGCCCAAAGGCCAAAACCACGGCTGCCTGATCTTACTCAGCCTGACAGTAAGATGGTTTGTACATCTTTAAATGGTAGAACAAATCAAAAGAAGAATGATACTCTGTGACATGTGGAAATAATGCAAAATTCCATTTCTAGTGTCCATAAATAAAGTGCCAGTTAGAACTAGGGTCACTCATTTGTCTGTGGCTGCTTTGGGGCTGTGACACCAGAGCTGAGTCCTTGAGCCCTGGTGTGGCCGAGTATGGTGCAGAATTAACTTCACTGAGACAGGCCTGGCCTCTGTCCTCAGCTCCTAAAATGTTAGATCTGCTTTGCCGACCACCCACTGTGTCTGTTTGCGTGCTTGCTGTAGGTGCACGTGAACTGGTATGAAACAATTTTACGGTGGGAAAGGGCCATGGGGCCATCTAGTCCAGTTTTAGTATGGCCTGGGACCTAAAGACCCTCCCGTGTTCTGCTGTGAGGGGGGTAGATGGCCCGGCATCAGCAAATGCATGGCTCTGCTGGCAGTTCTCAAAGTCAGGGACTGCACCTGCCCCGGGGACTTGTGAAAAATGCACATGCTCAGCCCACCCCGCCCTGGGGACGCTGGGCCTGGGTCTGGGGCTACCAAGCTGAGCACTCAGTGCAGGAGAGTATATGCGGTCTGGTTCTCTGCCCACCCCCTCGCCTGGGTCCCCCACACCTGTACTCCCTGTGTGCTGAGAGCCTGGTGTCTACCCACCACGCTGCCCTTTTCCCGGCCCCTCCATCCAGGTCTGTTGTGTGGGCTAAAGAAGCCAGAGTGGCCCTTGTGAATAAGGAGGTGATCACGTCATCCTCCTGCTCAGAACCTCCAGGGGCTTTGCTTGCTCAAGAAAAGCTGAAGCCCTTCTCTCCTTCCTCCTGCAGCCCCCACACTGCCCTGCCTACTGACCCCACCTTCTCCCTGCTGACCCTTGACTTCTCCACATCACCAGCTTGGGCCTTTTGCTCCCCTTGCCAGGCTGCTGCAGTCTGCAGGCTGTGCTCCGGGTCTCTGCTCACAGGTCACCTCAGGGCCTCAACCTTCCCTGACCACCCACCGTTCTCCGGACCCCCGGCCCTGCTGGTGCTCCCACCCTTGTGCGTTGTCCTCCCCTCACACCGGTGGACCCGCTGACTGGCTCCAAACCAACACGGTACACAGAAGCAGTGACAAGTCAATCTCAAGAGCAGGTTGGGACTGTGGCTTCTACCTGGGTGATCTCTGGTTCTCGGATCAGCCACCCTGTTGTGAGAACTCCAGCAGCCAAGACTCAGAGGCTGCCTGCCAACAGCCACACGCAGAGCTTGGAAGCTGATTGCCTCACCCTCCCAGCCCTCCAAGCCCTTCAGAGGAGACCACAGCCCAGTAGACCCAAGCTGAGCCAGATTCTTGACAGAGCTTGTTGCCATATGCCCAGTGTTGGGATAATTTGTTACAAGACAGGTGAGTAATACAATATAATGTCACTTCTATGTTGTTTGTTTCACTAATTAGCAAATTTCCTGTCTGCTCCTTGACAGAAAACAACAGTCCTCCTTGAGTTCTCTGTGCTGCCAGGCTACACACAGCCCAACCCCGCCGGGTCACCCCCCTCTGTCTGGGCCCTCCCGGAGTAAAGGCAGAGGGAGCTGGGAAACTAGTGGCCTTGTAAGCAGCCAGGTGCCCTCTGATGGTCCCTTGTACACCTTCAGCCTGGCTCCCCAGAGGGCACCCTGTCGCCAGACCTGTGCTGAGGAGCTGTGAGCAGAGACCCACTCTCCCGGCCCGGCCCTCTGTGCTATCACCCGACTCACCCGAGCAGTTTCGGAATCTTCCCTGTCAGCGTGGAGAAGGCCACACTCAGCTCAGTGAGCTGGCTCATCTGGCTGAGCTCCCAGGCAATGGAGGTGAGGAGGGGATCCTCGCCATCAGGGGCTGAGGTGCTGGTGGGGGGCGCATCAAAGGCCTTGGCAGGCAGGGTGAGTGAGGCCAGCTGGGGGAAGCCCACCTGGGCCAGCAGCCACTGCACGTGGCCAGCATGCAGCCGCACATTGTGCACCACCTCCAGCCTGCGCAGCTCACCTGGCCCAGCCAGACGCAGCACCTGCAAGAGTTGGCTGGGGCCCAGACTGTCTGCCCGGAAGGAAAGGCAGTGCACACGCAGTGGGGCAGGGTCTGCTGGCCCCAGGGCCTGCACCACCACCTCGAAGTTTCCCTCTGTGACAAAGAGATCGGCAAGGACCCGGACAGGGCTCCGGGCCCCTGGGGACTCTGCCTGCAGCCGGCAGCATGTCCTGGCCAGCAGCTCCGTGCGGCCCCACCTGCCCAGCGCCCTCCCACAGGGGCACTGCTGCACCTTCACGTCTCGGACGCCTGTGAGGTCAGCCACACGCAGCCGCCGTGGGCCCCCAGCCCGGAGCACGTGGTCTGCAAGGCCCTGCACGCAGGCCTCCAGGCAGGCCCTGCAGGTGCGGTCTCGCAGGTCCTCTGTGGGTTCTGAGCGCGGTCCGAGCAGCGCACTCAGCCGGAACTCCTCCAGTGGCCAGTGTTCCAACAGGACACGGATCACCTCCGCCTGCTCCAGCAAGTAGCTAGCTTTGAACAGGAGTGGGTAGAGGTTGTGGGCCACACCATCCAGGCTCTGTTGGACCACCTGGGGGTGAGACACCAGGGCCTTAGCAGCAATGAAGCGTAGCGATCTCATTGTGCCCGCCTGTGGTGGCCCAAAAGCAAGACTGAGCTCTCCCCTTGAGATTCTCCCAAAGATGTATGCCCTTCTTGTTTATTTTTAGCTGCAGCTGCTGTAAGCAGTTTGCCTTTGGGCAGAAAGTAGTGAGCAGCCCCTTTGGTCACCTGATGGCTATTCTGGTCATGGAGGCATCTGGCAGTGGTCAGCCTGTCCTTGTGGTGCTCAGCTGGTGAAAGCAGAGCTATCTGAGTGCTTGGCTCAGGGACACCAGGTCCCTGAAAATTGCCACTCCTGCCCACCGCAGGGGTGGCCTGTGCTTGGGAGCTGCAGTGGGCGGCATGGCCCTGGGCGTGGACCAGAGAGACCCCAGATGAAGGCCCTGCTGCCCAGGGCCGTGTCCCCTCAATGTCACGGGAGCCAGGCTCCCTGGGTGAGGCCTTCAGGTGACGTCCCTGGGTACAACAGAACCAAGGAAGAGAACCGTGACCATGTCTTAGAAAAACAGGTCTCATTTATTTATGCTCCTAAAGTTGGGAACAAGTCAGCATTGAAACAAAGTAACAAAGAAATTCCAGCAGCTGGAAATTGCCAACTCACTGTGCTGGGGAACCGACCTGTGCACCTGGCTGCCACCTGGAGGATGGGGGTCTCGTGGGGAAGACACCCCCCAGCAGGAAGTTCCTTCAAGGTCTGGCATCTACCCAGGCTTTCCCTGCTTATTATTCTTCTGCTCCTCCATTTGGTGAGGGGTGGTCCTCTCAGGACACTGTCCACACCCCAGACCTCAGGCCCAGCTGCTGTGCCCTCACCCCAACCTGGGTCCCAGGCCCACAGGTGGTGGTGGTGGTGACTGGTGGCCCCACGATCTACACATGCCTTGTTAAAAACGAAAGAAAACCGAGATTCTAAATATACTCAGAGGCACTCCCTACACCTGGGATACACCTCAGTGGGTTCTGCTCTGGCGGACCATTGTCCATGGGCCTGTGTTGCCTGGAGGGCCAGTGAAACATGGTCCCAGAGGGCTCACCCTGCTCCGAGACACCCCAAGTCTGTCTGGACCTCCCCATGGGAACCAGGGTTCCCTGTGCTCCCACCCCAACCTTGCTGCAGCCTCCAGAACATTGGGGGAGTTCAGAGCAGTGCGCACATGGAGGTCTGGGCCACCTGGCCCTCTGAGCCCCTGAACTGGGGTGGAGAAACTGTGCAGGTGGGATGGAAGAAGGCCAGACGATGTCCAGGCAGGCAGGGCCCATGGCGTGCTGACTGTGTGGCTGGCGCTGGAGTGGGGGTGCGTCAGGAGCCCCAGCATGAGTGCCTCATTCCCAGACCTCGGGCCCAGGTCTGGGTGGAGGCCCCTCTGCTCCTTCTGACGGGGACTCTCCCTAGAGGGGCTGAGCCTCTTCCAAGTACATCACAGCTGTGAAAGAAAGGAGGTCGTTACTCACGGCCACTTGGTGCCCAGGGTGTGCATAGCACAGAGTCCTTGTCTGGGAGGTACTTCCGAGGCCTTGCACCCAGCAAGGCGCTGTCAGACTCACGGACACACAAGCTTTTGAAGAAGCACTTGGGGCCAGCGCAGACAAAGTCAGGGCAACAGAGACAAGGGCGTCCTCTGCAAGGCCGGCTGCCCTCATGGTGCATTCCGCGCCTGGGTCTAGGCCCAGATGGAGCCTGCCGGGTGGCCACCTTGGCTGGCATCACCATACATCTGGGGGTAAAAAGGTTCTGGCCCCGAAACGTGGCAGTTCTGTTTGCTGTTCTGATCCCAGAACACGAGTGCATGTGTGCACCTCAGAGCATCCTCTGTCAGGGCTCCAGGGCATGGGCTATGAGTGTATGTCGGGGAGGCCCCTGTTCTCAGGACAGGGTGCTGGGTCCCCCAGGAGCCACTCCCAACAGAGGGGTGCCCTGGAGGTTGGGGCAGGTGGAGGTGGTCCCCACTGGCTTCCGTGGCTAGGCCTCTGGGGAGTGACTGCACCAGGGGCCAAGGGCCCCCTCCTGTTGCAGGAATTCCTGAGGTCTCAGAAATAACTCCACACCACTCTCTTGAGTATGTGCAGTTTCCAGGGGGTTTAGACAGCAAGGTCCTGGGGAGGTTGGTCAGGGGACAGGGGTAACAGGCGAACAACTTTGCTGGCCAGGGTACCCCTCCTGGGGGGGCTGTATCACATCTGGAACAAGGTGGAGACATGGCCAGGCAGTCTGGCTGCTGCTGGCACGCTCAGTGCCTTAGGGTGGCAGTGGACAAGAGCATCCTCCCATTTCTTCAGGGTACCTGGCACAGCCTACTAGTCAAACCACTGTCCAGAGACTTTTGTTCTGGCAGGAGAGGAAATCACTGATTAGAGCCCATGTCACTGGTCATCATCAGTGATGTGAGGCGTGTGGACTAAAGACCCGTCCCCCACACTCTATGCTCAACATACCCTCAGACTCGGCCCTTCCCTCTGATGCTGCCCAGAAGCTGGACTGGAGAGTCTCCCCAGAACTGGGGAGGGGGGTGCCTCTGCAGAACCAGGACCGTGCTTGCCAAAGTGGATACGTGCGTGACCTGAAGCTGGATGAAGGTCAGCTGAGAAGATCTCTGTGAAAGAGACTTCCTCTCTGAGTGTTCCCCTTCCCTGGTCACCCCAACCGTCCCTCTCAGGGGTGATGTGTCTGTGTGTACGTGCAGGGCTGTGTTTGGGCTCTCCCCTGCTGGCTGTGGGCAGGGAACAGCCAGTTCACAGGCAGAAAGACCCACCAGGATCCCTGGGCAGGTCCTGAGCCTCTCAAGGTGCGGGGGGGGGGGGGGGGGGTCCTCAGGAGAGGGGACTCACCGTTGTGGTGTACTGGCTGGGCATCTGCAGCCGTGAGCCCCTCCTGGGGGCAGCAGAGGAGGCGCTCTGGGGGTCCCCCTCAGAGAACAGCCCTGGGAGCCCGAGGCCACTGTCCCCCGACGACGTGCACTCTGTCACAGCAAAGAGGGGCTGGGTCAGGGCTGGCTGCCCCCTCACCTCTGTGCTCAGCACTCAAGGCCCCCTGAAGCGTGTAAATAGAGAATGAGGCGTGTCCTGTGGGCACAGACTTACCCCAGGACAACCGTGAGGCTGGGTCAGAGCAGACCGGATGGCACTGCTGGAGGCCAGACACCCTTATGAGCAAGTGTGTTCTGACCCTGCTTTTCCGAAATCAGCCAACTGGGAGGGAGATGGTCAGGTGGCCTCTCCAAGCAGGGAGCCTCCGGCTCACACCAGGCAACTCAAAGGGCGAACACAGAAAAGGAGACCAAAGAAAGGCCACATGGCTTAAATAAAGAGCTGGAACAGGTCAGAGGAGGTCTCCGCCCCAGAGGGTTGTCGGGGGCCTGCTGTGTTACTGCAGAGGAAGTGATAACCACGGCCCTGCCTGCCGTGTAGGCATAAACTCCTGTCGGCTGGCGGGGGCTTTACCACAAGCTTCTGTGCAGGGGTCACAGTGCTGTTTCTGCATGGAGCTGAGGGGGGCCGAGCAGAACCCTCCTGCACAGACCCTGCACCTCCACAGGAGAAGAGAAAGCCCCACCTCCAGACTCGGGCTTCAGTGGGGTGTGCCAGCCCACGTGGGAGCTAGGGAGGACACCAGCAGGAAGGTGCAGTGGCTCTGGGCTGGCAATGCGGGTGCGCCCCGAGCTGTGCTCCCTGTGGGCCCGCCCAGGACACAAGCTTGACCGAGGTGGCCACTGTTCTGAGCATGTGTGCAGCCCCTGGAGCACCTGGGCACCCCCACAGGTTTCAGGCACAACGCCTCCACCTGGGCAGAGACAGGTTTGGGGTTGGAGGTGCCCTCTGAGTGCTGTCACGGTGGCAAAGGCACCCTGGGGGCTTGGAAGGTTGTGTGTCCCAAGCAGTGTTACCCTGAGGCAACCTCAACAGGGCTGTGGTACTGTGGAATGGATTTTTCTGGGAAACCAGAGAGCTGTGACCCTCCACGTCACACCTGTGGTGATTCTCCACATGCAGGAGGCTGAGGAAACCAGCTAGGTGGGCCCTGCCAACACACCGGCTGCCTCCACGTGGAGCTGAGAGCAGGCCGGCGCTCGCGGACTGCGGCTCTACTGGGTATTCGGTGCGCGGTTGACCAGGTGGATGTAGGAGCCCGGCCGCGAGGCCCATCAACACGGACACAGTCCACAAAACACACGTGTGTCGATCACAAAAGCGTTTGTGCTCCGTCCCCACTCCCTGCGGTCACGGACATGCTCAGCCTTCAGCTCTATCCCCATTAGTTCTTCTGTTCTCCGTTCTCCTTCCACTATGTTCTCTGGGATTGAGCTACTCTTACATTTTATCTCCCCTGGGGGTGTGTTAGCTGTAAGCCTTTGTTTTGTTATTTTAGGGGTCATTTGGGGTTTAAAATGTGTATCTAACAAATTAGATGCCTCCCGTGACGCTGTACATCTCGGCCATGGTACAGAACCGCCACGTCTCCCCACGTTCTGTGCGCACACACCCCACCGGCCTCAAGGACATTAACGTGGTGAGCCCTTTCCACCGTGCTGGTTCAGACAGCCCACTGTCTCTTCAGAGCTTTCAACAGAAGAGTCTTCCTTTCTGCCACCTCTGTTGCACCTAGTGTCACTGTCCTTCTCCCTGGAGAACATCCTTTAATATTTCACGTGTGCTGCTTAGGAATGGTTTCAGCTTTCGTGTGCATGAAAATGTCCTTGTGTCACCGTTTCTGAAAGACATATTTGTCATGCTGAACTCTAGTTTGATGGTTTTTCCTTTCAGAGCATTCTAACTGTCCCTCCCCCTACCCCGTCATCTGTGATGAGAAATGTGCTGCCCCCCGCCCTGTCCCTGTGCGCAGAACACGCCAGCTTTCTCTGGCTGCTTCCAAGATGTTCTTTCTGTTCGTCACCGGGTTTCCAGTTTGTGATGTGCATTTGTGTGTGCCTGGGGCTCACTGGTCTTCGGGCCTGGAGGTTTACACCCTTCACCCAATCAGGGAAATATTCAGCCACTGTTCCTTCAAAGTTTTGTTGTCCCTCCATTCTGGGGCTCTATTATGTGTTTATGAAGCCACTCGGAGTTGTCCCACGGCTCACTGATCTTCCTTCTCGGTGTGTCACTTTGGACAGTTTCTATCGATACATCTGCACTAAGTCATGCTTTCTGTTAACCCCACCCAGGGACACGTTCATCTTAAGTACTGTGGCCTTAAATTGCTTAGTCCGTCCCATATACCCTGTTGAGACTTGACATTTTGGACATCAGGGACAGAGAACGATGGTGTGAATGCCGGCACTGATCAGGGACAGAGAACGATGGTGTGAATGCCGGCACTGATCAGAGACAGAGAATGATGGTGTAAATGCCAGGACGGGTAATTCTAACAACCACATCAGTTCCAGCTGGTTTTGCTTGATTATTGCTCTTCTTATGGTCTGTTTCCTATTTCCTTGCATGCCTAGCACCAGACAGTGTGTATCTACCCTGTTGACTGCTGGACATTTTTATAATCCTATAAATCTCCTTAGGCTTTGCTCTGGGATGCCGTTAGATTACCTGCAAACGCCCTGTATTTATGACACAGTGGCAGGCCAGCAGGAATGTTCAGTCCAACACCCCTCCTGAGCAAGCCCTCCTGAGGACTTACCACCACCCTGGGGATGGGGCTGTTGCCCGTCTGCTGCTGGGAACAGATGTGTGTGTGTGGATGGGGTACTCTCTAGTCCTCCACAGGTTCCGGCCTGGACAGCCTCCTCAGGTGCAGTGCTGATCAGCATCCTGCTGGACCCAGACCTTGGAGGCCTGTCACCGTGCGGGGCTCCCCTCGCCTGCCGTTCACGGAAGATCTGCAGGCTCTCCGTCCTGCACCCGGGGGCTTTCAAGGCAGAAATCAGAGCAATTGCAGGGCTCACATCACAGTCCTGTCTCTCAGGTCACTACCTTTGGTGCCAGATGTCCTATGTCTTAAAATCTTGTTTCATATACTTTGTTCATGTTTTATCTGGTTTTTGTTTGCTTGGTTGTTTTAAATCCATTCCCCGTTACCTTGTTTTAGGTGGAAGTGAAAGTTTTTGTTGTTTTTTTAATTAAAGAAAAATTATAATGTGTTTGAAGACTTTTGGAAGTATGTAAGAGGAAGCGAGTTAAATGACCAGGTGAACTGCTGCCCACCCCTGGACCCAGCTGTTGGAGGCCGGAGCATGCGCTGCTAGGTGCACTCACGCATGGAAGGCTGGCTCCCCGTCTCCTGCTCCAACTCCTCCTCCTCCTCAAGGCAGGTGTGCATGTCATATGGCCAGGGGCAGGAGGGGGAGCTCAGCAGGACTGGGCTGGCAGATGCTTGCAGGCTCAGTGGCCCCAGGGCGGAGGACGACTGGCTGCCAGAGGAGGAGGTACTGCTGTCAGAGATGGTGGAGTGTGGCCTCTTAAAGGGGGCGGCGTGGTCACAGGGGGGCACAACCATCGATGCTCGGGTCCATGACTCTGGAAGGGGACAGAAAGGAGGTGGTTTGGCTTTTGCTCCCCAAGTACAGCCCAGATCCGAAAATGAAGTAGCCATCTGGGAAACTGACCAGGTCCCTCCCATTGCAGTCACGTCAGGCATGATGTGGCCACCACCCGTCCAGCCTTGTGCTGGCTCTTGAGGCCCACAGTGAACACCAGGGCCTGAGTCAGTCAGTGGGACAGAGTGAGGGGGAGGGCTGAAGCCACGTTACCTGCTCCCTTCTTGACAGCCCGGTCGCTTATGGCTGCGTCACTGGGCTGGATGTCCATGAATGGTTTGTTGCCTATCCCCATTGACACCATTTCTTGCATTCTGAGTTCTAAGACAGAATAACGTAGGACAACTTTCCAAGCAACTGCTTGGCTTTAATACCACTCCTGATGATGCTCGTACCCAACACCATCCGTCCAGACCAGGAGCATGTCAGGGCCTGGCCCAGCACCCTCCTGAGTGTTGCTGGGGGGCCAGATGTGCTAGGGCTCCTGTTCTGGTACGTTCATCTGGCCTGACCTCACAGTGGCCTTTCTCAGGGACCTCAAGGAGCGAACAAGGAAAAGACGACATGGGGCTCAGGAACCGGGTGTCCCACTAGGGAGAGAAGGGAAGTGTCCCCTGTCACAAAGGACAGTGAGCCACGCAACAAACACAGCCGACAGGGGTCACATGGCTACAAGAAAGACAAACTGACAGACATTTATGCGCCTCAGATGTTTACGCGCCTCAGACGTTTACATGCCTCAGACGTTTATATGTCCGTCTTTGATACTGAGCACAGGGTGAGAGTCTGACAATGAGTAACTCCTTGGTAAAACCAAGCAAAGAAAACCAAAGATGATGGTCATAGTTGAGGGGGGGCAGTTGGGAGGGAGGGGCAGGAACAGAGGAGACTGGGGAGGGCAATGGGGACCAGGCCAGGGGCACTTGCTGCTCCTTGTAAGGGCTGGGTCCACTCTAAGGGGACTGAGGAGCCAGTGAGTATCTGAGCAAAGTTGCAGTGCACATGTATGCACATGCACGTGTGCATGGTGGGGTCTACCCTTTGAAGGAAGCCGTGTGGGGAGGCTGAACTGCATCTCTGATGACAGGTCAAGATGTTGGCCAGGGTGGCAGCTGCAAAGGGGTCAGGTGGTCGTGTTTCGACATTTGGACATTGGAACCCTTAGGGTTTCTCAGGCTTGGGGAGTCAGAGCCGATAGAGGGTCAGCTTGGAGATGGCATCTGTAGCAGCCAGACTGGATGAAATGCCATCCTGTGGGTGTGAACAGGAGGTGCCCCAGCATGAAATTGGGTGGAGGGGAAGAGCAACCAAGGGGGCTGACTTCTAGGAGCAGGAAACCTAGGTGGGGTCCTGGCACATGGGGCATGGCGCCTGACAGAGGAGGGCCCTCACCTGTAGGGACGTCACAGGCGGGCCATCAGCCCAGCATCCGGGAGGGCAGGAAGCTTTGACAACAGGGTGATGCAGAAAGCAGTGGGCCTGAGGTGTCATGGAACATATTATAACATCTCTGGGAACAGGTGTCTTGTTTATATATGAGTAAAGGAGAAGTGTGTTTGTGCGCTGACTGACATATCCATCCATTTCCACGTGGAGGGGGCTCTCCAAGGGCCACCTGCCCCAAACTGGCCCCAAACACCTACCCAGGTCCAAGCCACTAACCCCTGGACTCAAACCCCTGCCTCAGCCCAGCCCCCAACCCCTGACGCCAACCCCCTGCCCTGAACCCAGCCCCTAACCCCTGGCCCCAAACCTCTACCCCAAGGCCGACCCCCTAAACATAGAGCTTGCCCTGGGTGGCCCTCTTCTGCCCACCTCTGTTCCGCAGAGCCTGCCGCCCCAGTAT